ACACAGCCGGTACACCTGCCGAGTGTTATGTAAGAGCTGCTGTTCTCTGTAGGAGGCACGTGTTTACTTGTGCTGTGATCCCAGGGTGGACATCTTTGGCATTCATGTTAAAAGATGACAGAAGAGATGAGATTGGTCTTTTAAGTTAAGACACTGACCTGCAATCCTTAACCTTTTCTTTTTATTTATATCCTCTCTTCCCAAGTATTCTCTCTAAATCTAGATTTTCTGAAGCCCCAAAATTCCAACAGGTGTTTTAGGCTCGGTTTCTATGAACGAATCCTGTTGACTCCCTGCCCCTACAGTCAGCCTGACCAATCTCAGGTGGTGATGTGCAAACCCTTGATCTCTCCTTTGGAAGGGTTATTAAACACATGGAGAGAGAATTGCTCTAGAATAAGAAAACACGACCTTTCACCAACTGTGCTTCTGTTGTCAAGTCACTTCACCTCTTTGAAAAGCAATTTTCTCTTCCTTTCTCTGTGAAATAGAGGGATCTCGGTCTCATCCTGCCCATATACCAAAGTGGGAGATAAGACAGATAGGCCAGAGCCTAAGGGTCATCTGACCCGGCTATGGGACTAAAGATTAATCAAGCCATCTAGCAGCAGGTTCCCTGTGATGTTTCTCTCGGGGTGATCTAGGAACTTCTTTCAGAAGGTGGTCTTTATTAATCTCCTAAAGTAAGTGTTTTGAAGGTAGGTTCTGTGTCATGTGACGAGCACAGCACAGTGTCATTAGGTAAATGCAAGTTGAATAATGAGAGAGCTATTTCTTCCTAACTTCCACGAATAATAACAGTAGCTGATGGAGTGCCATTCTGTATTTAGTGTCAGAACACTCAGAGACTACCAGAAGTGATCCATGGTTTCCAGGAGGAGTAATATGTCCTCAGCCAGGAAGTCACAATGATGATATAAGGCTCGAGAGTTTTTGTGGGGATTAGCTGATTTAGGTGCATGGTGAAGAGAGGCAGGGAGAGTCAGACCTGAGATATTTTCCACTGCAGCACCTGCTTCCACTGGGAACTTGAAGAAGCCATGTAACTTGTCTGGGCCTCTGTCCCCGTCTGAACAATGAGGTGGACTGTGTCTGTCTGCCTTCTCTCACAGACTCATTTGCAATGATAAAGGAGATGATAAAAAAGATGAAGCGTCCTACAAATGTAAGATATTTAGTGGAAGGAACCGTGGACTGAAGTGTTCAAAACCTGGCTCTGACATTTATTAGCTCTGCAGCATGCACTACTGAAACAGTTTCTTCCTACGTAAAATGAAGGTTCGATTAGTTTATTTTTGGTACTTTTCCTGTTAATAGAGATGGGTTTGTAGAAATTCTCTTAATGTGCATACAGCCTTAAAATAATTACATGTCTTGTCATTTTAGGCCTTGGGAATTCTGAGAAAACATTGAGCTAAAACTTTTGTCCGTCTCCTAAATAATGTCTGAGTTGACAGACCTCAGTCTGTTTTCCTATATCCACAGAATTTGACTGCACTTAGTAGCACTCCAAGCTTTTATCAGTGCTCTGCCTTCACCACTAATGAGTTCCACTGTCTTCTGTTACCCATTTCGGTGGGAGGGGAGGGTGGGATATCTGGAGAACAACCTGGCAGTTTCAGTTTTACCTGGGTTTGCCCCGCACATCAGTGGATTAATCTATATATGTCTTCATAGGAATAAACATGCTCACTTGAGACAGGAATTTCTAGACTCTGCAACCATGACAACCATCTCCAGGCTCTTCATTTCGTAAATGTCATACCTGTAGTATTTGCAAGGGCCTTGGAGTTCTTCCCATCCACGTCTCTCATTTTTCGTATGGGCAGCCGGGGCCCGGAGAAGCAGCTTGCTGTCGGTCACAGTGATCTGCACAAAGACAGTCCCACGTCCCAGCAAAGCTGCATGCCATATACTTGGTTCCCTGGAGTTGAAGGGAGTCGGCCACGAGAAAATCAAATCTGGCATTTCCCCATGGTTGCAGCGTTTGTCGTAAAATCTGCCCTTTTGGTTTCTTGCTACTCTTCAAATAGAAGCAGAGGTGTTTGTTTTATTTCAGGTGTGACATTTTACAGAATTTAGCACTCTTGACTAAGAAGTGTGCTGGTGGTAATTACGTTTGAGTTCTTCAGATCATTCTTGTCTTAGTCTGGGCTAACTTTAAATGGCTTATTCTGTGCTAGCCGCTTGTGCTAAAAGCTTTACATGGGTTATCTCATTTAATCTTCCAGTAAAGAAGGTTATGACCTATGAGGAACTGCATTGTGCAAGTGAGCAAAGTGAAGGTAAGAGAGGTTCGGTGATTTTCCAACGTCATGGAGTCCGTTCATGGTAGGCCTGAGATGAATTCAATCTAGCTTCACACTTGGCCGTGGTAGAAAGATCACGGAGTCACTCTTCTTGTCAGTAACAGTCCCAGATACTTCAGAATCACCTAGGCACATGGATTTGCTGGATGCCCGAGTGTGTGCGCACCGAAGTATAAGATCTCCACAGAAAATAATTCCCGACAGCCTAGATGTGTGCATGTGTACATGGATATATTTATATATATAACGTAGCATGTCTAATATCCAAGTATCTTGCCATTTTCAGTTTATTAGGTTTCTATTGGTGGAGGAGATGAGCACTGGTATTTATTAGAAGGGGAAAGAGTCATCCTTTCTCCTCATAGCATCTTGCCCATAGCAGCTCTTCAATAAATGCCTATTGACTCAATCCTTATTTTCTAAGGAAAATGGCACTGGATCAGGAACCAGAAGCTCTAGGTTCTAGTCGTGGTTTTAACAGCAATTCACTGTAACAACTAAGCCAAGTCAGTTTTCATCTACGTGCCCTAGTTTTTCACATCTTCAAGGGAGGCCAGAAATGCCAGGATTGGTGATTCTGCAAGTAACATGTTCACTGTAGGGCTCAGAGCTGGAGTTATTCATACACTTGGTCATTTGAGCATGTCAGGCCGGGTTGCCTGGCATTGTCAGGTCCGGAGAGATTCATCCAGACTAGGGCTTTGTTGGTAAGCTCAGACCTCATCAGGGAGGTGGAAGGGAGTTGCCATGAATTTGGAGCAGGACTTGCCTGGCACATTGTTGCTCTGAGCAACCAAGTAGGTAGGTTAAGCGTTGTACCACTAAGGCTATGGAGAGAAACCGAGAGAGCCAGGGCTGCCTGTTAGGGGCCTCATAAAGGAATGACAGCCGCACAGAGACGCCTTCCTGTCCAGAGACTGTTAGAACTCAGGAGCCCCGTGAACCAGTCAAGGTGGAAGGAGCAAGGTCCACATTGGCGAGACTGCAGGAGTGTGCAGATCAGGAAGTGGTAAAGAAAGAGAAATGATGAGAGTGGGGCAGAATCAAATTTAAAAGTTTCAAGAATCCCCCCGCCCCACCACCACCTCAGGACCGAGAGCAGTAGCAGAGCTGTAGCAGTGTAGACCACAGGGCCTTAATCATAACAGGAGACCCGACAGCATGCAGGAGCGAGCATCCCTCTCCATCCTTCCCCTGTGCCCCAGCTAGCTGGCTGAAAACCAGGGAAAAGCAAGTCATAAACCAAAGATCGCTGAGCTTTGTGAGGTGTCCTGACCTCCAAGGTGCACGTTTCTATCCTCCCATCAACTGACTTAAGTTTTTCTGGTAAGAAAACTTTAGACTCGAGGGTGCCTGGGTGGCTCAGTTGGTTAAGCGACTGCCTTCGGCTCAGGTCATGATCCGGGAGTCCCGGGATCGAGTCCCACGTCAGGCTCCCTGCTCAGCGAGGAGCCTGCTTCTCCCTCTGACCCTCCCCCCCCCTCATGCTCTCTCTCTCTATCTCATTCTCTCTCTCAAATAAATAAATAAAATCTTTAAAAAAAAAAAAAAGAAAAAACTTTAGACTCATTTGATCATAGCAATATTAGACATTCGCAGCCCTTCTTGTACAATTCTAAATCCAAAATGCTCTGAAAACAGTTTAAAATAATTTTGTGGCAAACTCATTTGGTGGGAAACCAGACCAAAACAGACAGGATGCTATTTATAGTCTCTATTATTTACCTCACTTAGTGGGAAATACGTATGTTTGGCGGCAAAAATACTCGGGTATTTGATCACAGAGTGCCTCCATGGACCAAGCTGTGGGTAATAGGCAATTTATGGAAAATGCATCTCCCTGCCTTTCTGAAATTGGAAGAATTCTGAATTCTAAAGACATCTGGCCCCAAGGATTTCGGAGAAGAGACTTTCAACCCGCAGACTGTTTTCTGTAAATATTGGTGCGTTTCTTTATCCCTGGAGGAAATGAATGTTTCGTTTGTTCTTCTCACCCTTACAGAGAAAACAAAGTGGGGGGAGGGGAGAAGTCAGACAAATGGAAACGGCGGCTCGCGTGCTAATAAACTGCAGCCAAAGCTTTTGGGGGTCTAGGTCCTCCATAGCAGTCGATTTGTGGGGGGACAGAAATCCGGATCTGTACCTTTCCTGCAATTAAAAACAACAACCACCACCACCACCGATGTCGCTGTGGAACCGCAGCATCCTGGTCTTCGTCTGGCAGCTGCCCGAGCTGCGGAGGAGCTGCTCGGCCTTCGGTGCGTGGGACTCGCGGAACCATAGCGCCATCTTTCTTCCAGATTCGGAATCGGATCTCCGCGCTGCCCCGGGCCCGCGTGCCTGCCCGAACCGGGCGGTCCACAAGGCTCCCGGCTCTGCAACAGTTCCCTGACTCCCAAACCGTAGAGGAAGAGCTGCAGAGAGGGCTAGAAAATGTGTTGTCTGTAGGCCCCGAGAAATTAAATTCGTAACCTAATCCATTAGGGAGTGTGGGCCATAGACCCCGTGTTTCATTAGTGTGCACCTAGTGAGTCATTTTACACACTAGACATTTTAATTTACAACCTGCTGCATTGCAGCACTTTCCTGGGCCGTCTGCTATGTGATAAGGTATTCTTCTAGCCGCCAAGGCTTCCAAAATATAGATACACTTTCTTAGTTCAGATTTTTTTCTTTCTTTTCAATTTCCAGTTGCAAATCAAACATGCAGTTACAGAAGCAGAGATTCAAAAATTGAAGACCAAGGTAAGCACCATTAAATGGTGTTTGAATTGTACTTTTTAAACTTCGGACGCTATGGATAAATTCAACCCTAGGACTGAAGGATTTGTTCCTATGCATTTGAAAGAGTACAAATGTGAGAGGTTCATTTCCACTGTTAGATAAGTAGACAGACCTGCCAGTGAGACACATGCCCCTAGGGGGTAAGCACCACCAGACTCCCTCAGTGAAAATAGCACGACGTTTTAAAAATACATATTTACATATTTGCACATATGTGGCCAGTTCCCTCTGAGAGTTCCTCAAAAATTAAATGATGTTAATGGTTCTAGCATCCGAATTATGTTTTGACCACTAATTATGCTGTTATTATACAAGCTATTACACTGTATCTCTTTCTCTTTATTTATCTTACTTTAAATAGGTTTATTCATTTACTTATTTTTAAATTCTTCATCAGAAACAATGTATTTTAATGTAGCACATTAATACGTTTTCATAGAAAAAAATTCCAATTTCTAATAATTAAATATTACGAAACTTAATATGATATGTGAATAATTGATTTTAGATGCCAGATGCTACTGGAAATTTTTAGACAAGTTTAGTTTGCATTATTTAAATTTGTGGAAAAAAAACAGGTCTTGATAAAAGGGGAGTATGTATTTTTAGTTTATATATGAAATAATACAAGATGCGAAAGGGCATGTTTAGTTGGTAAATTATAAGGTACTTGTAAATTCCTAGAATTGTGTCTAGGTTTATCAAATATGTAATTTCAAGGATTTAAAAATATTTTTTGAATTACTTTAAAAATAATATTCTTTATTGTTTTTGTGGTCTTTTAAAAACTAAGACATAATTTCTGCCTCCACCACTAATGATCTGTTTTCCTGTTCACATTGAACACTTATTTTGGTTTTTCCATGTGTTTTAAATGGAGATGAATTAGCAGGGCTGTTTTGGTTAAATGGTATTCTCAGCTAATAACTCTGTAGCTCTTAAGCCAAAACATGTCTATACATCATTCATGGTGTCAGCCAAGCTCTGTGAATAATCATTTTTAAATTAGTAGTGGTTGGTAAATAAACAACTTGAATACAAAACATTGCTTAATAAAAGATGCAGGAAAAACCTAGTCTTGTTTTAAATTGCTATTGTTTCTTAGCACAGAATGGAAGAATAGATTTTTTTTAATTGTTGGTTATAACCAGGGAGAAAGATTCCCCTATGTATTGTAAGTGCAAAACAAAAACATTTAATTTAGAAAATCCTATAAATTAGTATTTTGTATTTTTCTCTTTATTATATTGGCATGTAATAGCTATAGTAGCTTACTTTATTGTGACACTTTATATCCATGTTGATAATGGAATTCCTAATTTTGAAATGTTTTTTATTTTTTTACTTTGTAATCTGTTTTGTCAATGTATTTAGTTTAAAATATACATTAAAAGATATATATGCATTTATTTGCTGAATGTGGTATGGTTTGGGGATGTCTTCGATTTTGAAAATTGTTAGTTTATAATGACTGCATCCTTTTGAACTTGAAAGGAAGCATGTGAACTAGATGAAGCACTAGTTTAAGGGTCTATTAGTGTGAATAAATGACCTTTGACCCCTTACCTAAAGGATCAGCCTTGAATTTCCATAGAAATAAGGCGGTTGGAGTAGTATACTATCTACTCTTAAGAGTCTCTGGAAGCAGAAACACAGGAAGCTGCCTTTTTGTTCCATGAGAGGGATTTAAAATAAGTCAGCAATGATTTATATTTTTACTTACACTATCTTTTACACTTTTATGCAAATTGAAGTTTATAAGACTCTGGAAATTCAGAGCAGTGCCAGCAAAATAATGAGCTACAGACTATGTTCATGTCAGTTGAAATAAAGGATGTAATCATATTATTAAAAGGGATAAAAAACAAAGTAAAAATAACTAACATTTATCAGATTATGCCCACGGAGCTGTTCCAGGCGTGCTGTTGTGGTACATCACAATTCCATCTTATAGATAATATACCTGAGTCTTGGAGACTTTTGGAGTCAATTACTTGCCCAAGGTTTAAAGGCCACTAATGGTAGAGCTGGGCTTCAACTCTAAACTGAATGACTCCAGAGACCCCTTCTTAACTCTTAGGCCAAACTGTGCTTCTGCCCCTCTCTCCTTCCCAGTGTGCCTCTCCCCCTCCCACTTTTCAATTAGTTTTTTTACATCTAATTATATGTAGGAAAAACGTCTAAAAGAAGGTACATTGAAGTTCATTGGGTAGAATCCAGTCAAACTCTAAAACAGTATGTACTGCTCACAGAGTTTCAAACCACATGGTGCAATGGAAAGATCATGGGAGGGGAAATCAAATCCAGGTTTTATTATTTCTCAGATGTGTGACCTCAGTTGGACAAAGCATTTCCCTTTTCAAGGCTTCCATTTCGTAATCTCTGAAATGCTGAAAATAAGTCTTACTCTTCTCATCTCAAGGTTCTAGATGATTGAGTCTAGGTGACAATGGAACTTGATTTAAAACATGCTATAAAAGCATGACGGATTTTGCTGCAGAATACCCAGACTATCCTTGCCTTGACATTTGCTTTATCTAGCTGCAAGCAGCAGAAAATGAGAAAGTGAGGTGGGAGCTAGAAAAAACCCAACTCCAACAGAACATAGAAGAGAATAAAGAGAGAATGCTGAAGTTGGAGAGCTACTGGATTGAGGCTCAGACCTTATGCCACACAGTGAACGAGCACCTCAAGGAGACTCAGAGCCAGTATCAGGCCTTGGAGAAGAAATACAACAAAGCAAAGAAATTGATCAAGGATTTTCAACAAAAGTAAGCAGCTTCTAATGACTAAGGAATAGTTGTGTGCATCTAAAGAAGTCTCGTATCCAGTGATGTTGTAACATCTAACAGAATAGAAAAGATAATCTTGGTGATCCTTTAAGCATTCAGACATTCAGTTTTGGAAATCACTTCTATCATTTTTTCATGTGAGATTATATTTGGTTTATTTTACAGTTTTTGGCTGTTGGTACCCACTGGTTTCTTTTTGATAGTCAGTCATTCCTAGTAACCATGAAAACGTGTAAATCTATGTCCTTTTGGGAACAGCTCTGAGTAGGAAGCAAGAAGCCCCGTCGAAGGCACGCAGAATGACTGACCATTGCAAAGCAGCAACTGGGGCCTTGTGGAGGCTGCCTCTATCTCTGTTCTTAGAATCAGGGACTGCAGAACTTTCCCACCTCAGATAGCGTAAATCTCGACTAGCAAGACCCCTGCCCTCCCATTTTCCGTTGCTCAGCTGTTGAGAGAATCACCAGGGGCTCAGTTCACTGCAGTGAGAGAGTCCAGCAGCACGCTCTGCTTTTGAATCTCATCAGCTCTTTCCACACGAGTGCTGCTTTGCTTCCCTCTGTTGGATTTTGGTGTAATTTCAGGGAGATGGTTACTGGATGTTTTTCATCAGGTACCTCTGGCCAGCCAGAACAATAGAGTCGTGCCCGACCACTTCTGGTCTTCCAGGCCAAGCCTTAGAAGCTAAGCGTATGTGTAAGATTCACGATGTCTCTGTTACTTCCTATCACAGAAATAATATTTTTCATACTTAAAGTAGACTGCCATAAAATATTTATTGTGAGAAAGGGGAAATTACTCTTTGTGGTCATGAATCCAGTACATCGCTATTTTAACTCTTCCAGCCAAAAATGTCATACCTAATTGTATTTCATGTGATAACTTCTATAGTAAATGTTGCCAGATTTGCAGATTGTATTCCAGGCTCTCAAAATGGAGATATTTTCTCCTTCTCCCCATATTATCCGCTGGTGTGTAAGCGACAGATCCCCCTCAGTGTTTCTGACCTGCCCAGTCCTTCGCCGCTGTCATTCGTAGAAAGCAAATTGTAATTATCTTCTGTAAACTCTTACCATCCAGTCCCATCAGTTTAGGAAGTATGACTTTATAAATATGGCATTATGACTGTGTGACACGTAGTCATTTCCACTAAATCAGCCAAGGTGGGTCGTTAGTTCAGAAGCTTCTTTCTAGACCTGTATGGCTGCCCTAGAATCAGGAGGTAACAAACGAAAACCCCAGTAAGCAGAATCCAAGCATTCTTCTTTAATTTCCAATCCCTTTAAATGTTTTATTTGCTTTCGTTACTAGACAGCTTTCTTCTGTGATTGAGTCTTGTTTATTTAAATAGCTGCCCAGTTATTTGTCCCACTGTGCAGTTTATTGCTTCAGATAAGAACTTTCACATGTTTCCTCAGTTATTGAGTATTTGATGCCATCAGATCTTTTATTTTTTTCTTAAGAGAACTTGATTTCATCAAGAGACAGGAAGCAGAAAGAAAGAAAATAGAAGATTTGGAAAAAGCTCATCTTGTGGAAGTTCAAGGTCTGCAAGTACGGGTGAGTTATGTGCTCAAAACCACTAAGTAATAGGATGGTTTTGCTAAGTACTTAGAGAGGAGTGCTGGCTTAGAGTTTTATGGATGGATTTTTTTTTCCCCCTTAGATTAGAGATTTGGAAGCTGAGGTGTTCAGACTACTGAAGCAAAATGGGACTCAAGTTAACAATAACAACAACATCTTTGAAAGAAGAACATCTCTTGGTGACGTCTCTAAAGGAGATACCATGGAGAATTTGGATGTCAAGCAGACATCTTGTCAAGATGGCCTAAGTCAAGGTTTGTTTAAACCAACCACAAAAATTGTTTCCAATGACTATAAAATTTGGCCTCACATTCTTCTTTTTCTTACCCAGAGATTTAAAAGTTGAGACAACCTTCCTGCCATGAGAAAGAAGAAAAGGCTTATCAAAATAAAAACCCATCATTTGGCTCTTGTTTTATCAAAAACCAGTGCCTTGATGAAAGGAAATAACAAAATTGCAACTTAAGCCAAATATTTTTAAGTCATCATAATATTGATAGACTTAATGAACTACCTTAAAAATATAAGTAAATAAACTACCTTACCACGATCGTTCATCCCATCTAGGGTGAGCTACTACTTATGTATTAATAAGTAAATCTTGCAACTTTTAAGTCATTAGAATGAAAATCTTTTTCCTAACATCAGAAGGCTGACTCCCTACTTCTAGCACTTGTAATTCATTGAGTTAAGAAGTTCTGTATAGTTTTGTGCTCTTACCTTGGTGTCCTCTCTATACTTCTCAGTCTTTCCTGTCAAAGAGCAAATAAGACCAAAACCCTGGAAACATTTGCAATCGTGAATGTTTTTCTTATTTTATGCACCAGCCATAAAACGGTCACTTGTTTTCTCACACAAACACACATCCGTACAGAGGTTGTGTGTATATGAATGTGAATGAATGTTTTAATATCTATAGTATATTTATAAAATAGAAAATATATAAGAGTTTATAAAGATAAATACACAGGAGGATATAAAACCTTTGGTTTCATCTTTTGAAGTTTTTACCTAATAGTTACCGGAAAAAGGGAAAGGAAAAGAATGTTGTGAAGCAACACCAGACAACTCACAGGTGGTGATTTGAAAATGCAGGGAAACTGTTCACTAATGAGCAACCGGTTTAGTTCTCTGATGATCTTTCTCACATATTGAAATGTCTCCAGTGAGACTTCTCTTGATACACAAGTGTTGATATCATATCATTAACTTTTAGAACTGCGCTCTTAACCATTAAAAATAAAAAGTATTGGAAATCTTCATTTAACATTAAAGTGCGATCTAGAAATTCGAGACCATTTACTACATTTATATCCTTTTGCTGGGCTTTCCCTTAATAAAATATAATGTGTAAATAATGCCCCCTGGGTAGCTTAAAGAGTAGTGTTTAGCACCAGCATTACCACTAACTGAAGAGCTGTATGTCTTCAGGAAGGTCATTTAGCATCTCTGGACTGGTTTTACTATGTATAATATAAAAATAGTAACACTTCTGTTTTCTCCATACTAACGGGTGTTTTGAGGTTATGTGACTTGGTCACTGAGGTGAATAAAAGCTTTTATAGGATTATAATTTTTATATCTGAAACTCCAGAAGATTGATTTCTAAAGAAAAAGGTCAGAAAAAAAAATCAGTTTTTTTTTTCACCTTTTTGACTATTTTCATTCCATTAAGTTAATTGTAGTTTATAATAAATAAGTGTTTCTGCTGTGACATGCACCAAGTATGATCAGTAGCCAGTGGCTTTCCAATGTTCAGTTCATTTCTGTTCATTTATTTCCATTCAGAAATCTGTATCTTGTCAAACATATAATTGATGGTATTTATTAAATTATGGGACTACAGAAGATCAACAAACTCTACTATTAACATGCTGATTTGGATCAAAACCTTATATTTCTTCTGAACCCTTTTCCTATTCTACACCCTCCATTTTGCCACATAATTATCAGTTTCCCTAGCAACACTGTTGGCTCACAGTGAGATGCAGAGACTACTAATTCTTACTGAAACCAATCCATGCTTGTGCAGTGGAGGTAGAATCAGTCATCTTAGACATTTGTAGCATACATATCAAGCGGTGCTCTCCCAGTTTTGCTGCCGAGGACAGTCAGTGATAAATCTCCTTGAATTTCAATTGCTTGATCACATAAACTAAAATGGCTTGGTCAGTAGCTAGATAGGAATGCTCTGGAAAGCACTTTTCTAAATTGATCCTTTGCTTCTGTTGCTAGGGAACGCTGAAGTCCTAGAGGTTTAGAAAATGAAGTAAAACTGAGGACCAAACACAGGCCATTCGGCACTTCAAGATCCCTCCCACTCCCCCCACCCCCCCACACATACCTTTTTGCAACAGGATGAGTAGAGCAGTTGCCTTCAGTCCTGCTAGTTTCTGCCCCTTAAATGCAGTGCCCCTTCTTCCCACTTCCTGTGGACTGTCCAATTCTGACTTGCTTTCTGAGCACTGGAGTGTTATTATTGTTAGGATGAGTGAGTGGTTTAGCAGATCTTTAGGCCTTGGGGCAGCCCAGTGAAGCAAAAGGATTATCAATTAAAGTCAACGAAAAACTATGTTAGAATGAAATACTGAAAGAAAGAGAAAGGAAGGAGGGAATGAAGGAGGCAGAAAGGGAGGAGGAGGAAAGGAAGAGCCTGCAAGCAGTCATTTCTTCGCAGGGAGTCATGTTCTTCTAAGAATGAGCTTCCCAGCTGAGGAGGGATTAATTACTTGACTCTTGGTATTTAATTATTATTATAAGTTTTCAGAGTGATAAAATTATTTTTCAAACCATGCAGAAATTTACCACAGTTACAGTTCTATTTGAACACTGTTTGTGTGGCTCTCTCTGTAAACCAAGCCTACTCAAGTATCTCATTAAAATTTTGGTAGATTATACAAATCCATTACTTAATATGGTCTAATACACTTTTCTTATCCTAGTACATAAAGCAAACATAACAATTTTTTTCACCAGGAGCCATGGCAGACCCTTATTAAGGATTATTACTAAATTATTAAGAGTTATTAATTAGCACTTACTATTTATTAAATAAGGCACATTGTTTTACCTGTGATCCAGGATGTGAAAAGTAATTATTTTGCCCTCCTGCCCTGTTTTTTGTTGTCATTTCTTAGTGCCTGAGTAGTGCTGGTCTATGTAAGAGTTTTCTATCCTATATCCAGGGGCCCCAAGTGACTAGAAATGTCTGCAACTGCCCAGGTTTTTAAGTCATGATTAGAATAAGAGCAGAGAACAGGTTAGAGAGATTTTGGAAGAAAAGGGTTGTAGTCTTAGTTTGATTAGATTCCCTGGAAAACTCACTTGAAAAACATGAGCTTCCTGCACTTCAGATATTCCAGGATCCTTAAGATGATACTGTTTTTGGCTTCGAATATTTTAAACGCTCTTGTGAAAGGTTCTGCATATCCATAGAAATAATGAAAGAAAAACTAGGACTAATTGGTAGAAGTTACATATTAAGGCAGATTATCATTATCCTGCCTCAGGAGGTTAGAAGTAAATTTATGATACCTTTAGACAAGTGTTTTGAACACTGAAAGTCTGGTGCCACACTGATTTGTAAGAGGAAGGATGGCTTCTAGGTAGAAAGAACAGTGTTTGTCCCTGCCAGCTGTATAACAAGGCATGTCATTTGTAGGATAAAGGGTGAGGAAGATGAATGGTTTGATAGAAGACAAATATATAGATGAGATGAACATTTTAAGAGATGAGAGGGAGTTTGAAGAAGAAGGAAAAAATGAATAAAATTAGAATAATTTTTTTTTCTGATTCATATACCTTATGTTAAAGGTATGCTTCAGGGTATTCTTGGAGTAAAAGTAGGCTTTGAATGCCCGAGAAGTCATGACTATTTCTGTAAGCATTGTGATTCATTAATCGTTTTGAGGCATAACAGGAACTGGGTCACTTGTAGGTTTGTAAAGGTAGTTCAAGTATCCCCATGAAGTTCGGGTGTTATTACCAAATCCTTCTTCTTTCTCACACCTATCTACTCAGCTAGTGTGCCACTAGTTAGAAAACACTGAATGTTATCTTCCCTAAAGTGTGAACATGAAGGTTTATATAAACCCTTTTATTCTTAGTTCCTTTAGTTACTTACTATTCCTTAGCTCTAGCAAGAACTGAGCCAGAAAAAAAAAGACTAAAGGTGCAAGATGGCAGATTGTAGGAAAGTCTAGACTCTCAGCATAGATTGTATCTACAATTAATTACTCAAACCTGGGTGTCTTTAAAATATATATATATATATATATATATATATATATATATATATTTCTTAGCTACTTTCCAGGTAACTTAAGAATATTCTGGAGAAAGGAGCATAAGGATATGAAAATAATACCTTCTTGCTTCCTCTCCTTTCCCTTACACTTTTTCCACAAAATGGTTTGGTTATTAAGATAAAGCTTTAGATTTCCTAAAAGTTGATCCCTAAGATGGTAGTCTGCACCTGAATCCTAAACCCAGCATGCTTGGTCAGAAACCCCAGATCTGTGGACATTTCAGTGAAACTCAGCCTGCTTAGATATTTAAGCCAGCCAATTCTCTGATCATCAGGTCATATCCACATGTATTTGCTTGTTGTGACCCAGTTGTTAGCTTACTGGTTTGCATGGAATCTGATTTCTCTGAATTAAATTATTTCTTTGAAATTTACTCTGATTTCAATAAAGTCTTTATCAGGAAGAGCAAAGGTAAGTAACCAACTGCCATTAAGGGTATGTACCTTTTTTATCTATATGTTTTATCCTTATATTTCATTCACTCATATATTGTCTAGAAGTAATTTGGAGAGATGCCAGGATTGGGTAAATTGATTGTGGCAAGATAAGAAAGAACAATGAGGATGAGTACAAGTGGAGCCAGAAATAATGCTGCAGGTATATATACCATGCTTACAGTATTTCTGAGGCAAGGCCTTTAATTTGGCTCTAAGCTTCCTAGTTGCCAAAGGAAATAGAAACCCTTGTTCATTACATTATTCACAGTGTCCATAAGATAAAAGAACAAACCATCTGCTTAAAAGAAGTACAACTAGTGGCACAAATATTTGCATGATTTGGAGAAAACAAGGAAATCCACTGATGATTGTTATTAGGACATTTTCACATAGTGACCCTCAGTGTAGACTAATGGCATCACACAAATATGTAATGTAGTGTTCAGTAAAACCAATTTAAATTATTGAGGAGAGGATAGGTAAGATACGATGTACTCAGCTATCTGTTGG